ACCCCAAATGCAATTTATGCATATGACTAACCAGTAACTTCAAACTTTAGTCCCAATTCCAAGTCCTAGTTCTTAAAATTATGTTCTCTTCTACCTAGGGAAAACAGTCACTAAGTTTTAGTCATCAGTAATTTTCCATTAGGATTCTTTTGGCTTCCATGTACTGTTTTTTGCTTTTTTATCCTTAGTACTTTGCACTTTCACACGGGGTTATATTGTATTTAAAATTGTACGTGTGTAGAGACTGAGGTCTTCGCTTTCTAGCTGCTGAAGTATGTTTTGCACAGTTTTAATTTTACTGTATCATTCTTTATGTTTCTTGGCAGAACTAGCTAGCCTCCTCCCTGCCTTCCCTTCTGTCTTTACCAGCTCCCTTCCTTCCTTTCTTACTCTCTGTATTTGTTTAACATAGATTATGTCCTGAACATTGAGCTAGATCCAGAATTCCTAAGACCTTGTTTCTGAAATAAGTTATGTCATCTTGTTATGTCATCTTTTTATACAGTTGGTACATTAGAGATCATGTAGTTAATTTCTCAAGTGTGGCTGAGGCCCGCCTGCACATCTCAGTCACTTGTGGTGCTTGGTGAACACTTAGCTTCCTGGGTTCCAGGCCAGACATTCTGAATCACGGGGAGTGGGCCCAGGAGTCTTTACTTAAAGTGAGAACCCCACCGATCCAGTTACTTTTTGGATTCTAGTACAGCTCTATAAGTTTGCAGTTGAGGGAACGACCTAGAGAAGTTTCATAACTTTACCCAAAGGCACCATAAGTGCTAGAAGGCCAGGAATGGTTGGTGGTGTTTTCTCCAAAGTCATGGAGATATTTAGTGCCAGAAGTGATCTGCTGACTCCTAGACTTCAAGTCACGTTGTGGGTTTTATTAGGCCAGACAGCGTATATATATAAAATCATAGGCAGTTCATCACTGTTCCTGAAAAAAGTAACTAAAAAAATAACTGAAGAACATCAACTGTTTGTTTCTTCATCTTTAGTCAGATATATGACTGGTTCTGATTTTGAAATCACTGGGGTTGGGGGGAACCCCTGGTAGTCCAGGAAGAGGAAAAAAACCTTTTATTCCCCCCATGGCACTATCCCTACTTGGTCTTTAAATTTTATGCTTCTGAAAAGGATCTGATTTCCTTTTTGAATGATGGGTAGCTAGCATAGTGCTTTGCAAATAGTAGGTGCTTGATAAATAGTATGAACAGGTTACTGTTAAAACTTTGTTTTTTTTTCCTTTGTATTCTATAAGCTATTATTAGGAGTGGTTTTATTTGCTTTGTACAGAAGCTGATACTTTGTATACCATGCCAGAGACCTTAAATAATTGAAGTCATTTATATTTATGATACTCCATTGTTGTAGTTGATATTCACAATATCTCTGAGGGACTAAATTATTCTAAAGTATTTTCTGAACTATATGTATTTGAATTAATTTTAGTGTTGTATGTGTTTTATATTGTATTGTGTATGGTATATTGATAGTTACTGAATTGTAACCTTACATTAGTAAATGTCGTTATCCAATTTTCTTTGAAATATTCTGTAATTCTCAAATTAACGACTGAGTTTAACTATAAAATGCTATTACTCAATTTTCCGGAAATTTTGGGACATGTTTTAACTGTAAGATTTTTAAAAAGGCATTTTAAGATCACATATTCATTTCTAATAAGCTATATTTTTGTAATTTAAAATTTTCTTCCCATGAAATATTTTTGTTTGCTCTTTTTGTAACCACAGACTTAAAATTGTAAATATGGTGGTTCTAAAAAGGAGTCTTATCACGCAGTATAATTCCTTCATTGTATTCCTTGATACTTTCTTAGGCCTGTGGTTTTTAGTTCGGATTCTACTTCTTAACTATGACCCTGGATGAGTCCCTTGATTTCTCTGAGCCTGATTCCCTTATCTGGAAAAAGGGTACAATGATACTTGCTGTCCTATTTTTACAGAATCGTTGTGAGACCTAAATATGGTGACTTATGCTGATGACAATAATTTAAAAGAATAGTTAATGCCTCTGTAGTGTGTACCATGTAGTAGGCACTGTTTTAACTATTTTACATATATTCATTTAATTTTCATAACAGTCCCGTGAGGTATAAGAATTATCATTATCCCCACTTTATAGATGAGGAATCTGAGGCACAGAGAGGTTAAGTAACTTCCTTGAGGTCACAACAGGGTGGTAGAACCAGAATTTAGTACCAGGCAATCTAGCCCCAGAGTTGGTAATATGTATGGAAGATAAATGTGTATGAGAGCTCTTTGACATTTGTAAAAGGCTATACTAACGTTAAGCATTATTATTCTAAAAGTACTTTAAAAGAGAGATGTTTTCCTCATCCTTTTTATACAGATAGAGGAAAAAAAGGCAAAAACAAGCAAGAAAAAACAACCAGCTTAATCTGGTAAATAGAGAATAGTATTCAAAATTAAGAAGGGATAAATCACAGAATGATGCCAATACATTAGATTTTTAATTTAACCATTCCAGGCTAGGAAGAGGAAGAGATGTTGAATGCTCTTATTTTCCTACAAAATGTTTTAGTGAGTGCAGGACAAAACAAAATAAAACACCTATTCACTTATATGACTGAAGTTTGTGCAGAAAAGTAATATCTCATTATGCTGATGGGGTCGTTACCAATTAATAGTAATAATTTGTTTTTCTCTGTCTTGGGAAAACAAAATGTCTGTCTAGATAGCCTAAAGAATGGATATGTGACTTCATGGTTTTAATAATGAATTCAGATTTTCATGATGGAATGAGAAAATTACATGCAAGATCATTTATCAAAGCATGAATTCCCCATGTGTTTTCTATTGTTTGTCCAATTAAAAGTGTTTGTTGAGCAAGCATTTACAGAATAGGTCAACTCTCCTCTTTTTAGTGTTTCTGCCCTTATACTTCAATTTGGATGGAAGTGTTCATTTCTAAAAGGAAATGCAATTTCAATGTAGTGTGCTTTGAGCTCTATTCTTTCAACTTTCAGTTTAGTGCCACATTTTTCCCAGCTAAATTGCTAACTTTTCCTCTCTAGGCTACTTATGAATCCATGTGAGTTTTAATTTCAGCTCACATCAGAGTCTGAATCAGGATTTTTGAAGGGGTTCTGAGAAACTCTTTTAAGGAGTTGCTGAGGGTGTTGGGATTGGTGCTGGGACTGAAAGTCCCTCCTCCTGTCCAATTCTCATCCCATTCCCCGTGGACACACTCATTTTGGCTAGAATACTTTGGCTTTTACCTATTTATTTATATTTCCAGATAAGATCTTTGAAGAAATAATACTCTGCAGAAGAAAAACATGTATGTAAACCATTTCTATACAACCTGGTTTTTCACACTTTCTGTTGCATTACCAAGTAATATGCCCTAACTTTTAGTTAGGGAAATGTAGTTGATAGACCTGAAAATAAAATAATACAAATTAAACTGTATCCAAGGTCATGTGTACCTCAGAACCTAGGGATTTTCCAGACTAAGTGCCAACATGCACTGCACCAGCTGTCTCAGAGCTCAGATCTCCTTTGTTTCTCAGAAGAATACAAAATGTAGGCTCTCATCTGTCAATCAGATGCCATGATGGTAAGATCACTTATGTCATCTCTTTTATACTATAGATTGGTTAAGTTAAGAAATTCAGGTTTCTGGTGTAGCATTTAAAAAAATAATTACTGTAAGCTGTAATTAATTTGTTGGGGGAGTTGTTTTTCTATTTTGGAGATCCTGCAAATATTCTGACAATACGTCTTTTGTATCCTAAGTGCATTATACACACTGCAGGCCCTTTTTTTTTTTAAAATAAAATTTCCAAAAGAATGACTAATAGAGCATGAACAGTGCTTATGCACTGTAGTCCATTGTGTAAGTATTGACAGCAAAATTTGCATTTCTAGAAAAGCTCGTTCACAGTCAGAACGTAGAATACATTCTTTAATGTTCTTGGGCAAACATGCTATGTATGTGTTCAGGATATTACTTACAGGAGAATACTTTTTTGAAAAGAACCTTTTCTTTCCATGGAATACTGAAGAAAAATTGAATTAGCAGTAGGAGTGAAGCAGTTTAAATAAGGCAAGTGATTTAAATCTTATTGTAATGATTATAGTCAGTAATGACTGGAAATAAAAAAATTAAATCCTCGGGAGGCATTGTTTACTAGGATATATGGAAAGATAGGTGACTTGTTTCTAGGTTGTTTTGAATTAAGAGTGTAAAATGTTGGTATGTTTATCTGCATCCCTAATTTTCAGACACACTTTTTCACTTTTGCTAGAAATGTTTTTATGGGATTTTGAAATGTTACATCAGGAGAACTAAGAGGAGTATAACTATGTTTTTGGCATCATTTAGTGCTTGAATTTTATTGTGAAATACCACCAGTGTTGGTGCGATTGACAATAAAGTAATGTTAATTCCATTAACAGTCCAGTAAACCAGCAGAGTCAACGAGGGTCAGTGCTTTGCTAACAGTTACATTGAAAAATACTGGTGATGGAATTGGTTTTGTGATTGAAGCTTTGGGCCAGTCTTCTGCTTGAATCTATCAGAAGTTACACAGGATGCACGTATGCATGTGTGTGAGGTTGTGTGTGTGTGTGTGTGTATGTGTATAATATGTACATATTTATATGTATTAAAAAAATTTTCCCCTTGATATTTGTGCTTAGTATTCAGTGATTCGTCCGTTAACTAAAACTTTTTTTTTACGTTTAAAAATTTATACGTTTAGTTACCTTAGTCAAATGAAGACATTTTACAGTGTACATCTGAGTGAAAAGTACTTTTAGGGCCAAGGGCTCTGCTTCATTTTAATTTAATTAGTGGGTTCCTTTTTAAAAGGAGACCCTTATTTCTGATTTCATACTGTTTTCCTTTCTGACAAGGGTACTCTTGTATTTCCATGATGCTATTCATTGAGCACTTTCTACCAGTTAAGTATTTAGTACGAATTGCTTTCTACAGGTCATGTTTTTTATCCTTACTATGGTCTTAATAAGATATCATTACCTTATTTTATAAAGAAAGAAATTAGGTTAAGTAACTTGCTTGAATTATTTGCTAAGCGGGAAACCAAGTCCTTGTGACCCTGCAGCTCATATTTTCAGCTACTGAGCACTTCTGCATCTGTGCTCTATGCTTTGTGTTCTCTTCTGTGTTTCCATTGCGTCCTTTATATCCTTTCAGTCCCACATTTTACTATTATGAGATACTTAGATATCCAGCATCTTCCTTAGACCATAAGTCCCTTGAAGAAAATGAATCTGTTTTCAACACTGTCCCCAGTACATGATACATTGGTGATGTCAGTAAATATCTATGAGAGGGGAGGGTATGAAATAGGAGACTTAGGAAGTTCCTGCCCCGCAAATGGAGGGGACGAGTGTGAAGAGCCAGAGGGAAGATGGCTAAGAGGCCTTTAGTGGAGGTAGAGATTCTTAGTCTCCATCCTTGAAGGAAGCTGAGGGGTACTTTGAGGCATGGGAATATTTGGAATTGATAAGTGACCCCTGCTATCTGGAGACAGATTTTTCTGCCTTTGCAGCATTACCAGGGATGCTTGTAAGTTCACTAGTATTGAGGCAAGAAATACTTTTGTGGTAGGTACAAAAATTCATTTGTTTAGACATAATTGTCATAATTAGCAAGTTTTTAGCCTGATTAATTCTCAGGAATAAGTATAACTTAAAAAAAATCTAACTGAAACAAACAAAAAAATTGAAAAGTGGAGAGTACCTTATTTAATACTATATATTTTGAAAAGCATATAAAGAGTAATTTCTATCTTCCTACCAATGATTAGTTTGTATAACTCTGTTTGCCTAAATCCTACACTTTGACATAGTAGAACTTTTGAGACCGAAAGGGTGGAACATTGCTCTTAGGAATAGTGTAGCAAGGGAAAAAGATATTCTGTTGCAATAACAACATACCAGTAAATGTGTGGGAAAGACTAAGAGTCAGATGATGGGATTTCTGTTTTGATCTTGTGGTGGAAAGAAAACTGCATCACTCTGGCTGAGATAGTGGCAGGACTATTGAAAAATAGTATGACTAGTGCTGTCCTGTATTATGCCTCTCTTAGTCACTATAAAGCTAAGTTCAGTTCTTTCATAGGTATGTGTGTATGTTCATTTGGTTATTTTGTGGAGCCAGAAGTTAACATTTAAATAATACTGACTTGATTCCTTTAAATTAGGAATAAAGAGAATAATATAGTTTAGGGTAGAATAAGAAGTGGGTTAAAGAGGGGAGTTCTACTGGGAATGGTTTCCCATTTACAATGGCCATGGCTCTGCAAATTTGGATAAGCACATCTGAGAATGTAAATTGTTTGCATGTTCATATATAATCTTTAACTGGTCTTCCAAAGGATTATACAACGGATCAGAATTTAGAATATCACGCAGTTTTATTCTGAGATATTTTGAGCCTCCTGAGAAAAGCAGTCTACATATGAATAAGTATAAAGAATAATTAGTATTAGTAACAAGAGTATTCCACAGTGCTGGTTATATTTTTATCAGTTTTGTAGCTTTTGAGAAAATACTCTCTATAACAACTTTATTAATTTCTAAAATGTGTGTTTTATTTATACTTTTTTTTTGACATAGCACACTTCTCTAAGTACAGACATTACTGCTCTTGAGGGCAGAAATTGTTTGGCCTACCCTTGAGGTATTATGATTGTTTTTGTTCCGAAGTACACTTACCTTTCCATTATTCTGAACCTTATTAATAACCTGCAGGTTATCCAGGGCCAGGGAATGTTGTATTGATTTATGGCTTAGGTATTTGAACCTTGTCAGTGTTTTTTTGTACCTCCATTAAAGGATTTATAGGAACAGAATGATTATAATTTGATACTATTTCTTAATAACAATTCTGATAAAAGGTTTGGGCAGAAAAGTGCCCACACTAATTGAAAATGAATAAAATTTCACGATGTTGCTGCTGTGTGACGGCCTTTTCATAGGGAAAGTTTATGCAGTATACGTAAGAAATAATGGTGACGGAGAAGTCTTTGAATCACATTTTCATATGGGACAATAGTTTATTTCTATGTATGTATGCATGTGTGTGTATAAGAGGGAAGAGTTGGGGGCGTTATGACTATCAAGAGCTGAAAGGTATATTAAAAATGGTAAAATCCAGTTTAGCAAATATTTCCAATAGTTAGAACCATAACTCTTCATTTATAATCCTAGAATTTTATCTCTAGGATTTTTATGCTCTGAATCATAGAACCTTAGATTTGAACTTGGAGACCATCTTGTATAGCAGCTCCACCCCTCAGGTCTTCCTTCTGACTTGAATGTCATCATTCACAAAGCCCCTCACTTCCTGAACACTTGTGCTCCATTTTGGAGATCACTCTCATCAAAGAAAAGAGGCATTGGGTACAGGAAATGACCCTTTTGGTAGCCTGTCAATTAAATGGAATATGGATGGTGGAGAATGATTGCTTAGTTTGGAACCATAGTTGTATTTCTCATTTAAGCATACATTTGGAAGAATCCTTTTTGTCATTGAGGGCAGGTGACATTTCATGATTAAAGCAGATACTATGGAATGGTTATAGTTTAATGTGAATAGTAACACCACAATTCTTTTCATCTTGACTCTTTGAAATCACTCTGTGAAACTGTTATGAAACTAATGGTCGTTAAAAAAAAGTATTTGGACCATGAACCTGTGACTCTCTATGTCATCTTTTCATTTGTGTGCCTAAATTCTATCCAATTTGGCTTTTGTCAAAAATAAGATGATGTGATTTTTTTTTTTTCTGGACATCTGGTGACTTTTCCACGAGTCTTTTACTGTTTGTCATGATAGATTTGATCATCTCAAATATAAATAGACATTTATTTAATGTCTTTTCCTATAAATCAGTTATTCCTTTAAATTATTTTAGTGTAAATAGGTCTGGCTTACCATTTTAAATATAATGGATATGTCCTAAATGCTAATCTCTGAGGAGCTCTGATTTTTATTTGGGAAGTTTTCTTGGTACATAAGCATTTATTTTGCACATTTTACCTAACTAGAAAACATAAGCTTGCTTGAAAACATTAGCAAAGAACCGTAAGAAATAGCTGTGACTCAAAGATGAATGTGATGAGGAGGGTATATATCCAAGGAGTCATCCAGGAGGAATGGTGTTAATGTGGAAAGTCTTCCTGAGAAGATGCCTTGTTTCTTAGATAGCCCCATGTATATCTTAAACATTTTAACAGTAACTTCATTTTCCATATTTTAGTACATTATCAGTTGTTGGATGCTGGTCCCTCCCCGCCCCCCTTAGTAGTGGTGTTTATATATAAAAGAATCTTAATGCTTAGATAGCATTTTCACATCATTTTAGAACTATCCAGTGAGATAAGAACAAGTATCAGTATTTTTATCCCTACTTCGCAGTATGAAATTGAGGCTCTGAGAGGCTAAATGACTTTCCATGGTTTACGAGACCTAATTTTCCTTTCTCTTGTAGCTTAAGCTTACATGTCCTAGTTGGGGTGAGAGAATAGTTTGTGTGTTAGCATCCTCCAAAGTGTCCCATGCTTCATACTGTGAAGGTGCTTTGCAGTATGGTTACTTATAATAATCCATTATTAAATGCTTAATGGTAGACTTCCCTTTTTGGTCATGAAATGACATAGTACACGGCATTTGTGTTGAAAGCAGAAAGGATCTTATGTTTCCAACAATGATTTAATAATTGGAACTGGTTGCTAGAGGGGAAATATGAAATTTCCTTTTCCAGAAGTTATTTTTGCTTTCTTGTCATGTTTTAAATAAATTGTATTAAATTTTCTCTGGCAGAGACTATCTGATTATGGATAATTTAGCTCCTTGCTTCTTTAAGGATAAAATTGTTAGAGTTTTATTTGTTTTAATTCTTCAACCCTGTGTTTAACCTCATTCTGTTAAACTGGTGTTCTCTGATGACAGTAGGCAGCATCCCATTCCAGCCTCCATTAGATAAAAATAGTATTTTACATTGTTAAGGTGTTTCTGTCAGGTAATGTGCTAAGCTCTTTGCATGCATTATTTTGTTTAATCTTTATCAGTATGTGAACTGTTTCTGGCATGTGGTAAGTACGTACTCAGCAAGTATTAACTAAATGGAGGAAACAGAAAATAAATAAGTAAAACAAAAAATATGTCAGATAGCAGTGAGTGTTTTGGGAAAAATAAAGCAGGGAGGATAAATAGAGAAAGAGTGGGTGGGTTTGGAGTTGTTTGCAATTTTAAATAGAATGGCCAGGGAAGGTCTCACTAAGTAGGCAACATCTGAGCAAAAAAGCTGAAGAAAGTAAAGGAAGAAATGGAATATCTAGGAGAAGAGAGTTACAGATAGAGGTAATGGAAGATATGAAGGACTTGAAGTGGGAGCTTGCCTGGTGTGTTTGAGGAACAGCAAGGGCTTCTGTGTTGTTATAGTGCAAAGAAGCAGAGGGGGGAATAGTAGAAGATGAGGTCAGGGAGGTAAGGGTGGGGGCAGATGTGAAAGCCTTTTGGGCCGTATTAAGGACTTTGGCTTTTGTTTTGAGTGAGATGGGAAGGTAGTGGAAGGTTTTTGGCCGAGGAGTGACTATGTCAGATGTTTCAGAAGGATCACTGTGGCTGCTGTGTTAAGAACAGACTAGGATGCAGAAGCAGGGAGACTGGTTTGTAGGCAATTGGAATCATCCAGGAAGGAGATGATGGTAGTAGCCGAAGAGGAGAGAGAAATGATTGGATACTAGACATGTTTTGAGGGTTCAGCCAATAGGATTTCCTGATGGATTGAACATGTAGTGTAGGAGAAGAGTCAAAGTTGACTGCAGACTTTTTGGCTCAAGAAAGTAGAGAAGGATAGAATTAACATTTACTAAGATGTTAGAGCTGGTTTCAGGAAGAAGAGCAGGAATTTGGTTTGGGGCATGTTGTTCACCTGGAGGTGTTACATAAATAAGTTATTGGAATCTGGAATTCAAGAGAAAAGTGT